TTCTGTATAAAGTTACAATGTTTCAATTTCTGGAAGGTTTAACCTCATGCTTCATTTACCAAAATTGTTACCAGACCAAGACCAGGTAATTTACAATTAAGTATGCATTCCTCTATGTTTTTTCTCTTCAATGAAAGATCTGAATGTGTGAGTACAGTACCTCTGTACCAGGCGGACATGAAAATAATCTCTACGTGTTCCCAGCAGCAGTTGGTTTGTGAATTTACATATATTTCAATCCCAATTAAGATGTTACTTCTAGAAGTGACATAGCGATGAACTTTTGAGAAAGTAGACTAATTTCAAAGAGATGAATCTGGCCAAAACAATACATTAATCTTGAGTTAACACACTGAATACGTGAAGCTCATTAGATAAGCCATCAAACTCCATCAATGGCAAGAGCTGTGTATCACCCCCATCCAGTTCTGAATCTGTGTCAGTTTGATACTTTCCAAAATACAGTATAAGTTCCTAAGTTGTGAACCTTTGTTTTACTCAGAGATGTAGGAAGCGGAACAGCATTTGAATAAGTCAAAGATTAGTTCACATTAACTGTGACATTTCAATCATAGAGCAATCAAATGGAACACAAATGATATATCTCACTTAAGGGCAATTTGAAAAGTAAGAACAGTAAGAACAAAATTTAAGCAATAGCCAGTAAGAGCTAAATGACAGTGGGCTCCTTGGTCACACTCAGCCACATACAAGTATCAAACAAGTTGCTCAAATCAGTTCATAGTTCCATGAAATTAACATTGTCACAAAGAGCTATATACTGGATAACTAATATATCTATATTCTTTCTGTACAAGGAGACATGAAAGTAGTCTCCATATGTCTACAGGTGCAGTTTGTTTGTCAATTTACATATTTAGAGGTCCCTTAAAGAAAGGTGCACTTGTCATTGGTAAATAGCAAACACGGGAAATGTTTGCGACCATAAAAGGCTAATAAGGCCAACAGACCTGTTCCTTTTGGGTAATCTTAAATGAATCCCTCCTGTCTTCTAACACTGATACAAATTTTTTTCAGACTGAATGGGAATGGGAATTAAAATAACTCACAATGGTATACAAAATGTGGCTAATTACACAGGACATAAAAAGATAAAAAGAGCTTTAAATAAAATAAAAGGTTAGAGTTAACTGTAATGCATAAAGCAAACCTTTAGCACCTATAACATCAAAATGCTTCACAGATAATTATACTTTTTTAACTCACACTCCCATTTGCAGTCTGACCTCTCCATCCATGGTCTCCTATGCTGTTCCAATGATCCACAGTGAAATCTTGAGGAACATCATCTTATCTATCTGCTAGGGACCCTACAGCCACTCCAGACCATAACAGCTCACCTTCCCCCCTCCCCCTCTTTCTGTTACTGGAAAGGTATCTTCTGTTATCATTATAATTATTACTTCAGACCGTACTTTGCCTCTCTGGTGTTTTGCCTGTTCTGCAATATTAACACCTCTTCTCCCCAGTTTTGTTCCAACCCACCCCCCCTTTTGCTTTTATGCCATTATCACCTCTTTAACCCATCAACTAACACATTCGCTCCTTTGTCTTCTTTTTTGTCTTCTTTGCCTTCCTTGTCCTGCCTGCCCCTCTCAACTTGTCCTTAAAAACCTCTCCCTCCCAACATGCCCCAGATCTGACAAAGGGTTGTGGATCTGAAACGTTTACTCACTTTCCTTTCTCCATAGATGCTGCCTGACTTGCTGAGTTTTTTCAGCTCTCTCTGTTTTTGTTTCAGATTTCTAGCATCTGCAGTACTTTGCGTTTTGTTTAAAAAAGAGAAGGTAGTTTTTCCCAGTATTTTGGCTAACAATCCTCAGATAAATTAATCAATCACTTCATGCTGTTGTGGGACGTTCCTGGGTACAAATTAGATGTGGAGTCATCTACAAATATACAGTCATTTCATCTTTTTGTAATTATCTGTGAAGCACATTGATGTTATAGGCTCTAAAGGTTTGCTTTATGTATTACAGTTAACTCTAACCTTTTATTTTATTTAAAGCTCTTTTTATTTATTTTTTATGTCCTGTGTAATTAGTCACATTTTGTACACCATTCATACTCTGCCGTATGAGTTCTAATATGTCCCAAAGAAAAGTGCATAAACACTGTATTAGATGAGGAAATCTTAGCTCTGTGTAACTGCTAATAACAATAAATAAGCATTTCCTGTATGAGTGGAGTCATGTAGCTCAGTGGTTAGAGCACTCGCTTTGCAAGCGAGAGACCTGAGTTCAATTCCAGGCAGGTCAGGGCGAAACCTTGGTCAAGTTTCCTTACTCCACACACCTAATAATAATCCCTCCAAAACCAAAAACAATAATAAATTGGTCATTTTCAATCTACGACTGTTTGTGGGACGTTGCTGTGCCCAATTGACTGCCGCGTTCGCCCACAAATATACAGTCAATTCACTTTACAGTGTATTCTGTGAAGTGCTTTGGGACGTCCTCCCGACGTGAAAAGCGCTATATCAAATTCAAGGATTATTATTATTATTATTATTATGAGGTGCAGGGCAATAACAATATATTAAATGACAATAAATCCATGTACACTGGTTTAATATATTGCTTAATATGTTCAATTATAAGATTATTTATGTTTATACAGTAGTTAAATATTCATCTGATGTACATAATTAATAGGACTTCTATTATTCTTCCAGATCAATAGAAGGGCTACTCTTTGTTCTGCAGTACATCCATCACAACATTACAGTTGTGATGGAAAATCATTCAATTGGTTGTTTTAGAGAAGTCTACTTATTGAAGAAAACACTCATGAATATTCTGTTGTTCTCCGCATTCAGTGAATCACTTGTAGTGCCTTCAACCATTTACATTTGTGATCGTTATGGTATCTGAAAAAAAATCCTGGCTGATAGGCTGAAAACCTAAGTTAGTCGTCCTATCTTCAACTGATAGTTCAACTGCAGTTACTGCAGACACTTCCAGGATGGAACCAGGTACTAATGATAGGGTGGTGCCAGGTATTTGGTGTCACCAGGTACAGTGTTTTCATGTTCAATCCAGAGGCAAAGAGATAATTTAATTTGGAAACTGGTATATCTATACCTGCATTGAAGACAACTATAATACAAAGTTTGGCAAAAAAACAGGTAATGAAAATGAAATTGTTGAGCTCTGATTTTCATGCATCTGTAATTTCTTAACCAGGTCATATGTTCATCTGAAGAAAAATCTCCAGATTCTTAAACATAAAATTCAACCATAGTATAAGACAAATTATCAGTATTGCAACTTATTTTTATAAAAGATGACTTGGATGCTTTTACATTCATGGATATCAACATGTGTTTTACAATTAGAGTGGAGCTATACACAGATCTAACTTATGCTGCATCTGACCTCGGACTTATATAGTCTAATATACTAATATAGTCTTAACATTTATCATTGAACAGTTGAATCTTAATTGTTTCTTGCACCTCTTTGCGTCCAAGCTGTTTTTTCTATTGTGATATGAAAAGAATGTTCCTGGCTCTTGGATGAATGATAACAGAGCTCAAACCTACAAGTGTATCAATCTTGTTGGAGGCAACAACTCCAGGTGTCAAGCCTGAACCAGACAGGTTTGATGTATAATACTGACTGTCTGGATTGTTATGAGGGAGATAACTTATCCACCTTCAAAAATGTCTTTTACTTCTAGGCACTTATCCCAGTGGGGCACAAATCAGACCTTTCACATCAATATGGTTTCATTCTATTAACTCTAACAGAGTCAAAATGTGTAACATAATATGTACGTTGAAATGAGCCAGAAACAAATAGTGTTATTCGTAAAGTGTCAAAAGCAATTTTAGTAAAAAGACAAATTGAGGAGTATTAGTAAAAAAAACTATCTGTATTTGGTTTGCTCATTGTAGCTTTAGGATTTAGTCTTTGCATCTAAAATACCTGAAAATTAGAGCATTTGAAGCAAATGCTGGAGTTGATCTAAAGATAGCTGTGTTTCTTACCACACTAGCATATACATATGAGAGAAAAAAAAATTTTCCAGAGAGATTAATATCAGCAGTAAAATTATTTGTTTACATGCTGTCTAATTTGTGTTAAACTGTTGGTTATTTAGGATAGCAAAAACTATTTGTAGTTTTTTTCTTGCTTTATTTAAAAGGCACAGGCTTGTGATATAGCAGCACATATGTGCTGGCACAGCTAAGTGTTGCTGGAAACAAGAGAGAATACACAAACTGATGATAATTCTGTGTTTTGAGAAAACAAATTAACCAGAATAAGCATTACCCAAGAGATTATCTGAAGGGCTGCCTTTTCTCACTTATATTGAACAATTGTATGGAAATTTTAACTTAGCCTATTCATGAAATACAGCTTTTGTTTTCTGTTACTATAAGGAGACATTTTGTAAGCTTTTAGTACTTGAATATTAGCAGTAAAGCAAGGTTGCACTGAGCTCATTATGTATGCCAACATCACAAAAGGCACTATGGAAACACTCCTGAGGAGGAAACACTATTAAGGAGAGGAACAGATATTTCTAATTGCTAAATAGAAACTAGACTTCACTACAACAACAACAAAATTACATTTGTAAAGCGCCTTTCACATCGGGAGAACATCCCAAGGCGCTGAACAGTTGGGATCAAGACTACTACAACATCAACAAAGAGTTCAGTCTTCAAAAGACATGTAGTGCTATGGACAGTGCTTTTATTATCACATTGTATTTATTGTGTTACTGTGTGCTAAACATTCCCAACATGACGCTCAGTAAATTTTGATGGTACCTGTTAGATAGTAAACCTAGTAATTGGGCAGCTTAGTTGGAGTTTAGACTTGCTAAATTTGATTTTCATACCATTGGTTTTCAAGGCAAAATATCTTCTGTGTGACATATTGTTCAGCTGTGTGTGATATACTGTATGTATTTAGAATGCCAATGCAATCTTTCACTTCACAATCTCGTCGACTTTAATTTCTTATCAGGTGCCACAACAATAGAAAAATATGACCTCAGAACAAATACATGGGCCCAAGCAGGAGTGATGAATGGTAGGAGGCTGCAGTTTGGTGTGGCTGTCATTGATGATAAACTCTATGTGGTTGGAGGCAGAGATGGACTGAAGACTTTGAACACTGTGGAATGTTATGACTCGAAAACAAAGACTTGGACTGCCTTGCCTCCCATGTCAACTCACAGACATGGTCTCGGTAAGCATGTTTTTGGATTCCAACATGAAATAATCTTATTAGCTTTCACAATAAGCAATTATTTTGTAAACCGTAAATTTGTGTGTTTATATTGGTGTCTTGGTAATGGGAAGAAAATTAGTCTGTTTTATTGAGACACATACAATTTTAATGATATGTTTTTGTACACCTCACTTGCATCCCAATGTTGGGATGGGGAGGGGTAGAGAAAAAGCTGTCCAACAGTTCAAGATCCCACTCCCACATTGCATTCTTAAGGATCAACTGTTTTATTGCCTCAACAACAACAACAACAAGATTCCATTTATAGAGCGCCTTTCACGTCAGGAGGACGTCCCAAGGCGCTGCACAGTTGGGTCATGACCCGAGCAGGGGGGAAATGGTCAGGGTGAGGGGAGGGAAGGGAGGGAGAGAGGAGGGGGAAATGGTCAGGGTGAGGGGAGGGAAGGGAGGGAGCGAGGAGGAGGAAGAGAGTCGAGAGGGGAGCTGAAGGCACGGTCAAAGAGAAAGGTTTTGAGACCGGCCTTGAAGGAGGAAAGGGAGGAAGCAAGGCGAAGGCACTGGGGGATGGAGTTCCAGAGCCTCGGGGCTGAGAGGCTGAAGGCCCGACCACCGATAGTAGGGCGGTTGGGGCGGGGGACGTGGAGCAGACCGGAGCCAGAGGAACGGAGGGTACGGGCAGGTAGGTAGGGGGATAGTAGGTTGGAGAGGTAGGAGGGAGCAAGGCCGTGAATGGCCTTGTAGGTGAGGATGAGGATCTTGAAATCAATCCTCTGGGGGATGGGGAGCCAGTGGAGGTGAGCGAGGGTAGGAGTGATGTGGTCCCGAAGCCTGGTGCGGGACAGTACACGAGCTGCAGAGTTCTGAATGACCTGCAGCTTGTGGAGGGAGGTGCCGGGAAGGCCGGCGAGGAGAGAGTTCCCATAGTCCAGCCTTGAGGTGACAAAGGCGTGAACCAGGGTTTCAGCAGCGTGAGGGGTGAGGTAGTGCCGTAATCTGGCGATATTCCGGAGGTGATGGAAGGCGGTGCCAGTTGTGGTGCGGATGTGAGGGAGAAAGGACAGCTCAGGGTCGAACAAAACGCCGAGGTTCCTGACTGGCTTTGAGAGGTGGAGAGTGCAGCCTTGGATGCTGATGGTGTCAGCGCCTGAGGTGCGGAGGCGCTGACGTGAGCCAATCAGGAGGGCCTCGGTTTTTCGCACGTTGAGCTGAAGAAAGTTGTCTCTCGTCCAGGACTCGATGTCGAGAAAGCGACCTTTCTCTGGCCATGGCAACTAAGGTGTTATATCAAATGCAAGGATTGTTATTATTACACTTAATAGAAATTATCTGTAAGATGTTTTGACATCATATTTCTTCTTTCTTTACAACAACAATAAATTGCATTTATACAGTGCCCCTCACACAGGGGAACATCCCAGAGCTCTTGACAATGGTAGAACACCCCATTGAGCTGGGGGAGGCACGGTGGAAGAGGAAGATCTTCAGGCATAACCTGAAGATGGGGATGGAAGGGGCAAGGTGGAGGGATAGAGGAAGAGTGTTCTAGAGTTTTGGGGCGTAGTGGCTGATGGTAGAAATGGTAGAACGGAGGGCAGAAGGGACATGCAAAACGCGATGATGGAGGCAGAGGGATGAGAGGAGGGAGGAAATGTCAGAGATAAAGGAACCAGGTTATTCGTGAGGACGATAAATAAGGAGGATTTTAAAGGAGAGGGAAGAATGGTACAGGGTTAAATGTTCAAAAGGAGCCAGAGGAATAGGGAGATAAAGCTAGTGCACCAGTATTGTAAGATGCTCTGCAATCCAAAGCATAAGAACACTTTGAGTCACTTTAATGAACTGAGACAAATTATAAAGCAAGAGACCTGAGTTCAATTCCAGGCAGGGCGAAACCTTGGGCAAGTTTCCTTACTCCACACAGAGCCTAATAATAATCCCTCCAAAACCAAAAACAATAATAGATTGGTCATTTTCAATCTACGACTGTTTGTGGGACATTGCTGTGTGCAATTGGCTGCCGCGTTCGCCCACAAATATACAGTCAATTCACTTTACAGTGTATTCCGTGAAGCGCTTTGGGACGTCCTCCCGACATGAAAAGCGCTATATCAAATGCAAGGATTATTATTATTATTATTATAAATCTTCTTTAAACAAAACTCCTCTAAAGCAATCCATCAGCACTTTATAAAATAATTTAGATTTAGTAATGTAGTTATTTTTAAAGTTACAGCAATGGAATGATGCCAGATAGCTAGTCAATCTTTACAATATTACTGACAGCAGTTGTAATGAGTTTGTATAAGAAACTGGGGTCAGGGAAGTGACTGACTCTGAGTGTATACTTTCTGGCTGAGAAATCGAGAAGTGATCAAATTCTGCCAGACACAATGTTAGCAAATATGGCAGATTTTATTTCATTTCAATTTATGTTGAGGAACAAATCATTGAATCCAAGGTTGCATTTTGTTGTTTGAAAGAAATTTATGAGAGAATGAATGGGCATTCTTAAACAAAATCTAAATATTTTTTAAACAAGGAATTAAGAAAGCAAAATCCATTTCTCCCACAAGTTAACTCTGGAACATATTGGGAAGCTCATTTTAAAATAAATATTTTTTGACACAGAACACTCTATTTGATTGCCTGATTATCAAGGTATCCTGTTAATTCCCATCAAACCATGTTTTTTTTCCAAAAAGACATAGCAGTGTAGTCTCAGGACTTAGCTTTAATCCTTGCATGTTTGCAATAATTCACACTTATTATGGGATACTACTGTCAGCCTGGTTCAGTTGGTGGCACCCTTGCCTCTGTGTCAGAAGTTTGTTGGTTTAAACCTAAAATCGGGATTGAAATCACATAGTCTATGCTGATACCCCAATGCAGTACTTGGGTTAAGTTGTGTTATCAGAGATCCCATCCTTCAGATGAGATGTTGAATTAAGGTCCTGTCTGCCTGTTCAGGTGGATGCTAAAGATCTCATAGCACTACTCGAAAAGCCCTGGCCAACAAGGCTCCAGATAAAATTGGTCATTGTGTTTGTTTGTGAGACATAGCTGAGTGCAATTGGGCTGTTGCATTCACCTACAAATACACTATACTTTACAGTAAAGTTCATTGATACATTCTCCTGACCTGAAAAGGCTTTATTCCAATTTCTAAAATTATTATTATTATCATTACTAAATTATGATACAAAAACCAAAATCACCTGATTATGGATTGATTTTTCTGTATTAAATGGTTATAAAATTAAGTTTGATATAACATGATTCATGTCAGGAGAACGTCTCAAAGTGCTTCACAGGATTCACTGTAAAATGAAACAACTATACTTTTTGTGGCAAATGTGGCAGTCCATTTGCATACATTAATATCCCATAAACAACCAAGTAGAGAATGACATTGTTAAACATTCAGCTATGTCCAGTAGGTGGTGCACCCAGCCCTCTTAGAATCTTATAGATTTGAATTGGACAATTTTTTAAAAATGTAAATTTAGTTGTTGGGGACAATTTCTAATTATTTTTGCTTAATATGTTTTCTTGATTTGATTAGTCAAAGAGAGGTGACATTTGCACTCTCCCCAGCCCAGATATAACTTTTAAATGATTGTCAGACTAAGGCTCGTCCTATCCATTTGTTGTGTTGCATCAAAATAATAAATATATCTGTGAAATATGGGGATTTGCTTAAGCCCTGTCATAAGCCCTGTTCTGATCAACATGCACCAGCTATGACTGTTTATGTACTTTGGCTACATTGTTAAAATGAATCATTGCATTGATATAGCGCCTTTCATGTCTCAAACACTTCACAGGATACATTGTGTGATTTGTAGGGGAACATTGAAGTACACAGGAAATTGTACCTCATTGTAAGCCCACAAATTTTTGTTGCAGTTGAACCCATTTTATTAAACCTATATAAATAGTGACAGCTTTTGAGCAAAACAGGGATATGCAAATACATTCTCCTGTTTTATGAATAGCCTGAGAGATGCAATGATTCCTCCAGTCTCCCGACACACACATCTCTTCATTGATAAACAAAGCCCATAACTCTCAGGGAAGAGGCATGCCCCTGTACAATGGAAACTAAAACATGCATTTTCTTACATTCTCAGGTACAATTGTCATTATTTGATAGAATAATATGTTGTCTCATGTCATAAAACATTGGTCTTATTTATCCTGTATTGGTGTCAGACTGGGTTGCACAGAAATACAAGTAATTACACAGATAAACTTTGGAATGTCTTTGGGTTTAAGAGTATTTAAGAGTTTTGGTCCAAAAATAGAAAGATAAAACAATCCCTGTGGGTTATTTCTGTGGAAGCTTCCTATGCTGTATAAACCCATAGTGACAGAAAGACAGGTCGCTGACAGTGAATACAATTTACTTTCAAATTCACCAAACTAAATCCGTACTATTCTATTCAGAAAATGTTTTACTGAATAGTGTGGAAAACTTTAGTACTTAACCCATTCAAAATTTGATAAAATGAGTGATAATTAGCACATCACGTCACATTTTTCATCAGTTTGTATCTTCATTTTGAAGATGCACTGTGTCTCTTATCAAAGCTCACAGATGACTAAGATCTAACAACAACAACTTGCATTCATATAGTGCTCCTCATGCAGGGTGGCATCCCAGAGCACTTGACACTGGTGGAGCACGCCGCTTAGCCGGTGGGGGGGGGGATGTGACCGTGGTACAGTTGCAGAAGAAGGTCTTCAGGCGCCATCTGAAGATGGGGAAGGAAGGGGCAAGACAGAGAGATAGAGTTAGAGTATTCCTAAGTTTCGGGGCATAGTGGCTGAAAGTATGGCCACCGATGTTGGAACGGAGGGCACAAGGGATATGCAGAAGGCCGGAGCCAGTCGAGCGGAGGCAGCATGTTGTGGGTTGGGGAGTAAGCAGGTCAGAGAGATAGGGAGGTGCTAAGGCATGAAAGGATTTGAAAAATAATGTAAGGATATTGAAATCAATCCGTTGTGTTAGAACTGATGTGATGGGTGATAAATCTAACCCATTTACTCTGATACCAATTATAAAATAAGTTATAAAGCATATCAACTTCTGTATCATATTCTTTACCTAGTAATAAACATTAAGATTAAATTTTGTAGCAAATGCTTGCACACCATTTTATTTGAAGAAAAAAGAGTCATGCTTCTTTAATTAAGTTTACAAACATCTCGGGAGCTAAAGCACCCAGTAAGAATAATTTTACTCGGGAGACAAATATAAAGCTTTTATTTGTATTTAACTGGACCGAAATTTCAGAGCTCTGCCAAAGGAATGACAAGAATGTATAAATATTACAATCTAGTGGCCAATATTATCCAACCGAAAGCTTCCATTTGAAAAATTGCATTGGAATAAGTACTTTCAGGTTGCTCAAGGTTCCTCAAGTGACCAATAATAGCTTGTACTTTCTGACTTATTGGTAATTATTTGTGCTCAAGACAATGAAATAGTTTGCTCTTGTAGCTTTCATAGTGTGCCTCAAGCCATGTTTATTTTACTCATTTCTCAATCACAGTTCTCTTAAGTATAACAGAATATAAGTGGCACTCGAAAACATGCTGATAATTTTCAAAAGATTGAAAGTAAAATTTCAGCTATGAGGCCTACAAATGTGAACTGTAGTAAAAGAGAAATGTTAACTGAGAAATTGGACAAAAAATTGTCATCCTTTCAGGCAATGCATTCCAGATCTGAGTTGTTCGGATCTGGAATGCATTGCCTGAAAGTGTGGCGGAAGCCCATTCGATTACAACTTTTAAGAGAGAAGTAAATAATTATTTGGGGAGGACAAGTTTGCAAGGCTAGGGGAGAGAGCAGAGGACTGGGATTGATTTGGATAACTCTTTTAAAAAAAGCCGGCAGCGACATGATGGGCGAATGGCCTCCTTTTGTGCTGTATAATTCCATGTTTCTATGATTTTATGAAAATGTCTAACGGAGTGAGTGGGATTGATAATTTTCACCAGTTTCATTTCACAATGTAATAAAAGAAAGAAGATTCCTTCTTCTGCCAATGCCCAAAGTGATGACCCAAAATGAGTCATTTTCTTTTTCATTTGAAAATCATATAGCAGTCTCACTCCTCTCTGCCTTTCTTCCAAATATATTCTGAGCAAACATCCAATGTTGATATTCCTTGCACGCATGATGGGACTGGCTAAGAGCTTTGAAAGAAGCCTATTGCAAATCTTACATGCCACTTTTATCTTAAGGCTCTTTTATATTGCACATTTGGTGGTGAATCTCTGGCCAAATTACCACAGTTTGATATCAAACCATACTGTGTAAACACTGCGTTAGTCATAACTAATAACTATATGGTATGTAATTATGGGATTTCATAAAACATGCATTAAATTCTGAAGATGTTTTAGATCATTTAAACATCTCTCTTGACTATATCTTTGTCGATACATTGTATATATGTTATCAATATAAAAATATTTTACGTTTATAAAAATAGCCATGTCCAAGTCCCTTCTGTATAACAATAGTTGCCCACTTCATTCCAGTTTAAATCGCTCTATAAGGCTTATATTTTATGTTTTCATTTGTGCATGGATGCATGGGTAAGGAACTAACAACAATCGCCCTGAAAATAAAATAAAAGCCTGGTGCAGTTTGTAGCACACGCACATCTGAGTCAGAAAGTTCTGGACTCAAGCCCCACATCAGGGCTTAGAACTTGTCTAGGCTGACACTTCAATACAGTGCTGGGCTATGCTACAGATGAGATGTTAAACTGGGGTCCGAGCCACCTGAATATTGAAAACCACATGGCACTATTCGAGAAAAGGGAGTTTTTCCCAGTTTCATGACCATCAATTCCCCCAGATAAAATTGATCATTCACTGCATTGCTGTGTCCAAATTGGTTGCCGCATTCATCTACAAAAAATAGTTGCGACACTTAGAGTATATCTGCACAGTGTTTGTGGCACACTGCTGTATGCAATTGGCTGCCACGTTTCACCCCAAATATACAGTCAATTCACTTTACAGTATATTCCGTGAAGCGCTTTGAGACGTCTAGACGACGTGAAAAGTGCTATATCAAATGCAAAGATTATTATTATATTATTATATATTCTGTGAAGGGTTTTGGGATGTCCTATATCAAAGGTCCTATATCAAATGTAATAATTTTTATCATCAATAAAAAAAATTAGGAACGACACTGAGACAGGAAGAGAAATCAATTAGTGAATGAGAGAATATGTTGAAAGGAAAACCCTAGTCGTATAAGAGCTGGTTCTTTGCTTCATTGTTTTGTGGGTCATGAGACAAGGCAATATTTAGAGTATCATTAACCACTACAGAATATAGCCAAAAGAACATAACTTTAACATTGTTTCAAATCTTAATTTGTCCAGATATGAGACAAGTACCCTGAATAATGCTCTACATTTTATTAGATCGTATTTATAGTCTATTGTGCACATCTCAACAGTCTCTTCTTTTGCTGATAAAATATCTGCCAAGCTGTTGTCTTCACTATGTTTACAAGGGTTTTAATCACTTACTTGTGTGTTGAAGTCACTTTAACTGCTGATGGAAAGTCCTCTGAGGTCCTGAGAGTTCAAATGCACTTAAAGTCAAGTCTGTCAACTTTATTTAATTTATAATTGATTGCAGTGCCTCAAACTCTCATGATCATAAAATAGCACACATTTATACCTCTGAGCATCCTGGCTCTAAGATTATTAAGTAATTGAATTTTATTCAATTGTATTTACATTTTCTGGCAATTTCTACTCTGTTTTTGTGATTGTTGTCCAAGATCACGATGATAAATGTGTCAATAATTGCAATGAATCATTTAGCATGGACATTTGAAATTTTTTAACACTGCCTGTAAAAATTGCTGCCAGGAAACATAACGAAGAAGCATTCCAATGAGTTTGTTTTTACCTGATGTCAAGTAGTAGTGGTTGAGTCTTCAATCTGCAGATGATACGGAAACAAATCAAGGGACAGCAATGACTGAGGAAAAAATGAACAACATTGATCCTCTTCTTTCTCTGACACCTTCAAGCAGTAATCAGAAAACACCATCCTATTCCAATATACTGACATAAATAATTCAATAAGCAGAGGCTTTGGAAACCAATTAAATGTAATAGAATTTTTCTGCTCACTTTGTAGGAAGGGTTCCCTGAAGGCAAGCCTGGTAATCACAGGGAAAGTAAAACTGACCGTAGATGGGACATTGTTTCCTTGGAGGTCTTTGTTTTGGAAATAACATCATTTATCATGTTTGTAATACCTTGATTGAAGTCCAAAAGTTAGAATTGAGGGCATTCATTTTGACATTTTTCTTATTAAATTTAGAACATACTGTCACTGGAATAACTGATACAACATTGTCTTATTTGTCCACTAAATTATTTTTTGCATTTTACAGGATCATGTGCCTTTCAACCTAAAGTTGTCTCCTAACCTTACACTAAATATGTATTTAGTGCAAGGTTAGCAGCTAACAATGACCCTTTAGACTTTTACACACTGTGTTTTGTTTAGAACTAATAGTTAAAGAATTGCTCCTTATTAATTAGTGTTTAATTAAAACTTCAATTGGCCTGTAGACCAAATGGAATAATATTTCATGGGTCAATACTCGCTATAATGAAGAACACCCATGACAGTATGTAAATCCAGGACTTGGACACAGTAGAGGGAAATGTTATACAGCTTATCTCTAATAAAGTTACTTTCCTATTAGATGACCAAAGGCGCTTGAAAGAAAGGAATATTACATGACATAGATGGGTAAGCAGGAGAGTGGGATGAGAATAGGCAGCTCATTTAGAGAAAAATATGAGTGAAGACTTGGTGAGCCAAGGCTCTATTTCTGTATTTTGTTCATACCTTTTCTAAAGTAATGGTATGCAAGGTTCATTTCTTTACCCAAGTACAACAGGCACCAAGAATATGGTTAAATCACACTCTTACCAAATGATTTTCCAATATGTCTCCTTAATTATCTAGAAGGTAACAAAAGCAGGACAGACCTCTTTGACACGTCGCTAAATAGAATGAAAACTCACGAACATCTCAAAATATCTGAGTTTACAAACAGTAGCAAAGTTTTACATCAAAAATGCATTTGAGAATAAAGAATAATGCCGCTGCAACAAAGTAACAATTTAAAATCAAATTAAAGAAAAAATTAACCTTACTTAAATTCACATATCACCTCCATAAATCTAACTCAAATTCAGTAGCTTATGGCTGAGCATCATTTCATATATAGCAATAATATGTAATTATAATTTGCATGATGAAAGACTTTATCTAAAAATTCTGCTTCAATAAAACAACATACACATCCCCATTACTTGCACAATGCCAACCAGAATTAGCACACATCAGTAAGAAATGACTTTTCTCTCAATTCAAAATAATGTATTTCAAGATATTGCAATATATATTGAAAATAATACAAAAGTGGCTCATTCAATAAATGGACCTTGAGGTGATGAGGTCCTGCTTTACATGAATGTTACTGTTGACATTTAATTTCAAGCTTATCAATACACTTCTGTTTTTTCAGGTGTCGCAGTGCTAGAAGGACCTATGTATGCAGTAGGTGGCCACGATGGTTGGAGTTACCTAAATACAGTAGAAAGGTGGGATCCACAATCTCGGCAATGGACTTATGTGGCCAGTATGTCCACTGCCAGAAGTACAGTAGGAGTGGCGGCATTAAATGGCAAGTGAGTAGGGCATACATTTTTAACAGTATACTTCAACCTGAACACGTTACTCCAATCAAAGCTATTCTTTGACTGGTTATCTGCACTCTCAGAAGGACTGATATTAAGAATGGGAAGGGATTTTTATTGGTGCTTTCAATCATTAATTCAATCTCTGACACATGCAGAAACTCATTGCCAAGCATCCAAGCCAGCCAGGGTTCCACATGTGTCTGTCACCTACACTTTGAAATTTCCCCCATGTCTGGAATGGAATGTACATATGCCTCATAGAGGGAAGAACCTACTTAACTAATTCTGTGGAGCATTAGAAGCAGGTTGGTGAGAGTCAATGATTGTGTACTGCAGATTGTGCATTTGTGTACTAATGGAGTTTAGCTAGCTAGGATCTACCTGTTAGGGCTTTGGCTTGCAAAGTTAACAGGAGTCAATATTTTTATGGGAAGGGATAAAAATATTGATCACTGATGTGTAATAATACTACATACGTGTATGCAGATCCCAAATTTAAACACATAGTTATGCAGTGGGCTTGCTTTCTAGTGCAACATAGTGCTTATTATAAGCACCAAAATGATACTAAAACATTTTACTTTGATAAAAGCCAGCCATGCTTTAATACAAATAGGACCCCATCCAAGAAGGTTCATACTGGATTCTGTTGCAGCATGCAGTCAGTGCTGTTCTACAAGTGAACTTCCAATGCTACAGACACAGAAACTGACTTAACATGACTGTTATATTAATATATGAAACCAGTCTGTAAATCAATCTTTTCCTGAGCCTGAAGATTTTAGGATACTCTCACATAGTACAATTATCTGTATTTAACAGCATCAGTGATGGTGGAAATCATTCCACCAGCTTGCCATTCAATCTGGCTATTCTGAATATGGAAACTGTAAGCAGTTTAACTTTTCTTTTTGTTTCTCTCTCAATGATTTCTATTCCCTGGAAGGATGGACCCTGCTTACCTAAGTCTGGAGAGTATTAGATGCAGGTTGGCAAGAGCCACAGCATTGAGGTAGTTCTGGAGTTTAACTAGGTAAAAATGCCATTGAGAATACTATCTGGCAAGTTTCCCACTGTTTATCCACCCTATCCAGATGGGCTTTGGCTTGCAAGGTTAACCTCTGCTCCGGCCTGACCTCCAAATCCAGCCAATAAGCCAGGCTGGCAAGGATTGGATCCATGTGGCTCAGGAAATGGTCTGCTGAGACCACTGTAGAGGGTGGACTTCAATCTCAATTATGATTCTGTAATCAGTGAGCTAAAGAAGTTTATGGTGTTACCAGAATGTATTACTTATTACTTTTAAAGGGAAAGTATAGAAGTACCCTTTTAAAAAAAAGTTTGGTTAGTGAGGGATCAACAGCAACAACAACTCGCATTTATATAGCGCCCTTCACACAGGGTAGGGACCCAGAGTGCTTTCGCCAAGAGGATCCTTGCTGCAGTGCAGTCCTGGGGAGACTCTTCCTTCCGCAGAATGCTGCTCAGTTATCAACTTAAGATGTCTCGAAGACATGATAAGACGCTATATCAAATGCAAGGACCATTATTATTATCCTCATACCTTTTACAGGCACAATGCTGTATTTTTATAGAATTTGTATTTTAGAGTATAATGCAAGAGTTACACCAGTGAAACAGTGAATCATTAATAATAATAATCCTCATTTATTAATTCTAATCCTTGCATTTAAAATAGCATCTTTCACTTTGGGAGGATATCTCCAAGTGCTTCACAGGATTCACTGTAAAGTGTAATGTCCATTTTTGTAGGCGAATGCAGAAGCCGATTTGTGCACAACAATGTCTCACAAACAGCTATGAAGTAAAGGTTCAATTTAATCTCGGGGATTGATGACCAGGACACTGGGAGAGAAACACCCTTCATTTTTTGAGTAGTATCATGGGATCTTTAATGTCCACCTGACTGGTGTAGCTAGTGGAGTACAATTCCATATAGAAGTTAATGCAGGGACATACAGTTTTCTCTTATCTTTGGTGCATTCTAGTGCTTCTTTTTCTTATTAATGATATCCATTGATGCAGCACATGAATCTTCACTCTAAAGAGATATTGGACAAGCTTTTTCTTTTCTCAAACAAACACAGATGTGAATTTTAATTGAAAGTACTAAAAAATAATTGGACGCACTATCCATTTTTAAAAAAGATAATGCCAAACCCCAATAATTTTGGTGGAAAGATAGGAATATTAGATCACAGTAAATCTAATTCCAAGGATGTCTCTTTATAATTTAATTACCCTTCCAATGATATACTGGCACCTCTTTAATTACTGAGAAGACTATTTGCTCTTAAGAACAGTGGAAGTCAACCCATAATTAGTAAGGTTCTCATGAAAATGTCAAACATAAGAATTTATGTGGAATAATCTCCTTACTCCAGCAATTCCTTGTAAAAAGACCCTTGGGAGTTTCTGACTTGAATTCCAATGTTGGGCCATTGCAGAAATGTACAATGTCTACTATACATTAATTAGTGCCTGTGGGATTTAGTAACTCATTGTAACCAAGACATTGTTTTGCACTCTGAATTTTTGTTCGAACATTAGTCAGCCTTCCGCAGCAAACAAATACTGCACTGCAACACTGGGGAGTGCTGCATTATCAGAAATACCATCCTTCAGGTGAGACATTAAATTGAGATTATGTCTGTCTGTTCAGGTCATCATTACAGATTACATAGCTCTATTCAAAACAAGAGTTTCTCCTCATTGTTCTGGCCAGCAGTCCTCAAACAAACAGATGTCCCAAAGCGCTTCATAGGATATACTGTAAAGTGCAGGGACTGTGTGTTTTATAGGTGAATGCAGCAGCTAATTTGCACAAAGCAGTGTCCTACAACCACCATGAAGTGAATGTCCAATTTTATTTGGAGGATTGTTGGCCAGGAGACTGGGAGAAACTCCCTCTTTTTGAATAGTGCCAGTGCGATCTTTAACATCCACCTGAACACGCAGATGAAGCCTTGGACTTTTAAAGTCTCATCTGAAGGACACCATCTCTAACAGTGCAGCACAATCCCAGCACAATTGGAGTGTCATCTTGTCTTAGATTATATGAGTTCAAGCCTGACATAGGGCTTAAACTCAGAACCTTCTGACTCAGAGACAAGAGAGCTACTAACAAGTGGTTTGCAGCCGCAAGCAGGACTGGCCTACAAAACAAGCAAGTAATAATGAAAAATACATCATTGTAGATAACAACTGGACATAACAACTGGAGATAACAATGGAGGTAACTGAAGGTCAACAAGTAACTGAGAAATGGTGTTTAACTGACTTCTGAGTTTACATATAGTCTTAAACCTAAATAGCCTTATGACTTGGTAGAAAATAATTTTAACTTTTTCATCTATTCATGCCTGTGTCAGCTCTCTGTCAGAACAGTTTGTTCCCATTGTCCCATTCTGCTGCCTTTTACCCATTCTCCTTAATATTCCTTATTTTTGGATAACTCCCTGATTTCCTGGTAAATCTATTAAACAGACATGTGATTGTATAAATATTCTATTCTTCTCATTGGACATCTGAATTAAATATACAGTTATTAGCCTAGAAAAGAATGCTGAAATCTTAATAAATATACAATGAAGGCAAATGTGAACTGATGATTTCAGCTAAGGTTGTAAGTGTTATCTTTCTCCAAGGCATAATAAGATTCTATGCAAACAAAATGTCATTAAATCAATAAGAAATTATTTATTATTTATGAATGCTATTAACATGTAGTTATAAATAACTAGTATGAGTAACACTGGCTTGATGAACCATGGCGTTTATGGAGTTTTACACAGAATTAGTTATCATTTGTAAGGATTTAAGTGTGACAATTTCATAATCCATTGATAATGCTTAAAAACCCAATGAATAATAGAAATGCACTTGTTAAAACGGAATAATTAGTGTTTAGGAAGAGATAAGCTTCTATACAATTTTGAGGGAAACAACTTAAAAAAGGTTAGATTAAGGGATCGGGGGTCCCCCTAAGGCAGATCATATTTGGGGGCCCTTTGAACTATGCATGCAAAATTGCAACAATTCCTTTTCAAAATACGTTATTGCGTGACTTTGCAGTTACCAACATTGAACTACATGATCACTTACTATACTTATGAAATTGTTCTCAATAGACATGATGGGGAGTACATTCAATCTATCCTGAATCTTTGTAGATCCAAAAGAATTTTTGATGAGGCTCATCTTTGAGAACGAGCATTCAGCTTCACAGACTGTTATTGGTAGTGTTAAGAATGTACAAAGATCTGCCACATTTGGAAATGTTGATTCCACAAAGTGATCCTCTTTTATATACTTTAGCATTTTTCATGTAGTTTTCACACTTAACATTTGATATTAAAGCCAGAAAGTACGCAAATTCATCAACATGACCTCAAAATCTTTTTTCAATGCTATTACTTTATTGCTGCTGGACATGGCTCCTTCTCTCTAGCTGCCTCTTACCTCGTCTGACCTCTTGGAGATACAACTCATACCTTCCACTCCACCCCTCTTGCCAGCACTCACACCCTGCCTCTCACCAGGTTGTACAAGGCATGAGGCAGTGAGTGAGTGACGACAGCAGGGGTAGATATGGAGGTGAGTCATATCGTCAGCTCTGCCCCTCTTCTTGACAGTCCATGCAGCCTCGTGCATGGAACAACCTGGTGTGAGGCAGGTGTGAAGCTCCCAGTGATGCAAAGTCCTGCCGATGAGCCACACTGGTGCTGTCATCAGCAGTGCCCTGGAATACTGCGGACCCTCCTGGTTCAGGAACTGGATTAGAGACTGCCATAGAGGGCTGGCTCGATTCTGACATTCCATTGCCAGGCATGTCACCCTGGAAACAGTTTAGCTCCAAGGAAACACCGCTAAACCGCCCCCCCCCCACCCACTGCCCTCCAAGACGGATAGTCACTAGTTAGTCATTCTGGTTATTCAAGACTCTGCATAAAAATGGGATTGAATCTATTTCATCCCAGTTCCTCAAGATTGCGAATCCACAATATAAACATACAAAGCATTTGTTACTAATTTGTGTTTCTCAGATTCAGGAAAAAAGCATATTAGATCTCATCCTTCCAGAATAACCATACACCCTTACAATATCAAGCTATTCTTTAAATGAGTCGAATGTACTGGCCTCAATCTCCCTTCTGTTTCAGCTGTGAATTACACTCTGTAAATAAATACTGTCTGGTATGTCACAAAATTGTTTTTTATAATCTTGAATCCAGCGTTCTGGGTGTATTTCTCTATTCCATTAAACATGTATATATTGTTACAGTAGCTGTCACAGAGGTACAATACCAACAACTGAATATTTCTTGTCTGAAATAAAATTATTCTTCTCACATGGAATGCAAGATGTTTGTCTAATAGAATTGAAATATCAGTCTTCTCACCATTTCATCCAGTGTTCATCAATAAGGTTTAATAAATATTTGCCTATTCTCCCTCTTTCGTCAGGTTGTATGCTGTAGGAGGACGGGATGGAAGTGCCTGTCTCAAATCAATAGAGTGCTATGACCCACACACCAATAAATGGAGTTTGTGCACCCCAATGTCCAAGAGAAGAGGTGGAGTAGGTGTTGCAACATGTGATGGTTTTCTATATGCAGTCGGAGGTCATGATGCTCCTGCTTCAAACCACTGCTCTCGACTTTCAGACTGTGTGGAGAGGTGAAAGATTCAAGCACGCTTTACTCTTGTAGTGCTGATCACAATATTGATGGTGCATATTTTGCAGATGTTGAAAATGTGCCAAATTAAGGTTCAATTAAATTCCAGCTCATGAGAGAATAGCAATGAGTGGCTGAGAGCTGGTCAGTACATTTATTGGTGTGTGTCAGCAGCAGAGGTTACAATGCTCTCATTTATGAAGGTCAAAATATTTACCAGCATTGAATCACCCACACATGATCAAAAAGCCTTTAATCAGACTATGGAGACAGAGGCTAAAGTAATATTTTAAAATTAAGTTGTTTGTGCAACTGGAATTACAAATAAATATGGTTTTGCCTCCATTCTGAGAAGCACACAGAAGAATCCATGGGGCGGAGATGGGGGGGAATCCATAGCGAGAAAAGAAAGGGGATATTTAATCCCAAAGCAATAAACAAAGCAACAAAATAATTTTAGGAATACTGCAATTATGACCGCGTTGCAACTACAAGCAAAAATATTCACAGTATAACTTATGAGGCACACACATTCCACAACATTTGAGTTAACCGCAGCATCTCATCCCAAACCTGACTGGCACAAAGACACAAGGTAATATCAGAAATATTGCAGTTAGATTGACTTAATTCCAGAAACAGAGCAACCTAATTTTTTATAGAAAATTTTTCATAGAAATTGACAGTTACATTTGCTGGATTTCAACATACAACAAATAAGATGTCTGGGAGTTAGGTAAACACCTACTATGATACAGGATTAGTTAATCTCCCTTCCTCTGAATATCATACAATGATTTATCTGGGATAGTACTTGATTTCCTATTTGTTATTTTTTAATCCCACCCTATTCACTTTATAAAAGTTCCTGTGTATGTCACTTCCATTCTACAGCCTTGAATCGTTAAGAATTACGTATAGCCTAATCTCAGAGCTATTTTGATATGTCTGGATTTGCCACAAATATCAAACTCCCTGTGTATTCCATTCCATTCTATTTGCAAGATCATTCCATCCAAACAAATAGTATTCCCATAGCAGACAATTCCTTGGAGAATGAATGAATTAGCGTATACGTTTATACAATGCAGATCAATTGAATCATTTAGTAATTTGTGTCAAATCCAGACAGGGAAGAGTGTTTAGTGCCTGGCAAAAATATAAGAATACCTCACTGTCATATGATGTTTCACAATGCATTCAATGTGACATCAACACATTCTGAAACGCTGCAAATGTCACTATTTTATTGGAAAGTCATTTCAAATTGTACACATTTAAAAAAAATACTGAGCTATTTAGTCAACCAGTTTCAATGAAGTTAGCAACAATATGGTGGCTGGATGTGTTTCCTTAACAAAGCATTTCTAAATCCCTTGTGTAATAGATATGACCCCAAAACTGATACCTGGACAACAGTGGCATCACTGAGTGTGCCTCGAGATGCAGTTGGCGTTTGCTTACTTGGGGATGGACTCTATGCAGTTGGTGGATATGATGGACAGACCTATCTAAACACAATGGAATCATATGATCCTCAGACCAATGAATGGATTCAGGTAAAGCCTAATGATAACTATATTAATAACTGATATAGTTATTAATGAATTCACTAGTGGTAGTGGCCCAGCACATTTCCTCATAATTTTGATTTCTATTATTTAACATGATATTCGTTCTATAATGTTTTCCCTCTCAAGGGCTAGAAAGTCTTCTCAAGAGTAGGTGACCAAAACTTTACCAGGTATTCCAGAAAGCATCTGTTAATGCATTCTGCGGCGGCAATGAAATCCATTTAGATTTATATTCTGACCAACTGCAGATGTAATCCGAGCATTGTGTATTTTTTTCTTACTGTTGCAAGAACTGAATTGATAGATTAATTAATTTGTCCACAATAAACCAAGCATCACTTTCCTGATCACTATTTAATGGATACTTCCTCTTTTGGTTCCTTGCTTCCATGATCATGAATTTGCACTTACCTGGATTCAACTGTATCTGCTGCATAATGCAATAATAAATTGTGACCTTGTGATTTATATTATTCATCATCAGTTGTTAGTAGAGAAGCATGATTATGGGAAAAAGATAAATCGATCATCCAAGATAGATAGATACAATAGATAAAATATACTTCAAAGAATGTGTTTCCTTAGGTAAGGTTCCACCTTACCAGTTATTGTCTATGGTGTAGGGTCATTGAATGGGCATAAAATATGGCTCTGTATAATGGTAATAACAAGATTACAATTAGAAGAAAATCAGAAGTCATGAATTGGAATTTTCCAGACTTAGGGAAGAAAAAGTTACTGATGGTTGTGGATTTGGGGATCTCAGCAGTATGTCATTTTTTTTTAAAAACAAAAGGTCCAATGAGGGTTATTTTACCCTCACCAATGAGGGTAAAAATACAATCAAGTGCAAAGATTCTTTCTGTGGGTTGTCCTGATAGATCCAAATGCATCTGCAGAATAACCAAAATGAGTTAAAATTCAAAGAATCAAAAGAGGAAGCTGGGTTCTCAATTAGGACTCAAAGTTCTAATTTATTGATTTCCACTCTGATTACCGATTTCCACACATCTCAATTTACTAATGCAATGTTTTATGTTTCACAGGCAGCATCACTGAACATCGGAAGAGCTGGAGCTTGTGTTATTGTTGTCAAACAGCTATGAATAGTAGTCAATGCATGGCATTTCCCCCTTCTGAACTGCTATTTGAAACATTTTGTAAATCAGATTGTTCCTTGCAAACAGCAGAGTCTAAAGGTTTAAATATCTACTACAGACAAAGAAATAAATATTAAGGATCAAAACAAACTTGAAATAGACATTAGAAAATATCTAATGTAGCCTGCAGATAGTGTAAATCCTCAACAGCAATCTGTGAGGTCAAACCAAACGGAAAAGAAATTCATGATGCATCTCTTTTATGGAAACAATGTTCTTGCCAGTATTGACATTGTTTAAATGATATTGAGATTGCCCTGCTCTGTAATGTCTTTGCAAATTAGTTTAAGCACTTAATGAGAAGACATTCAATGTTTTGAACATAATAGATTTGGAATTTATATAGAGAATAGTTCCTTTTCCGTGGGAAAACATGTGCTGGTAGAAAGAATTATCCAGTAAATATTCCAACTGAGACTTCTGTAACCAAAAAGACTTTCAATTTCATGAAAACGTTCATAAGTTCTACATATCCACACACAAATATGATGACTGCAATTTCAGAAGACAAAATAAAAGTTTTGGTTAGTATTTTGCCCCCACATTTTGTATAAATAGACAAAATGTAAACAGATATATATAATGAATCTGTCAAACCTCATAATGTTGGGATTGTCATAATTTTTTTTCCCTTTCATCCAGGATAAAATTCTGAAAGTAATCAAAGGTATTCTAGAATTATTTCTGATATTTATTCTGATATATCAATATTTAACTTCTTGAATTTGACATTTTCAGTATAATCAGAGTACTTTGAAGACAATTGAAGTCAATTCATTATTATGAATTAAACCTCAACAACAAGAGAATAATTACTTAACTGGTCTAAGGATATAAAGAACAGTTTTAAGACTAAGGTCAAGGCCAAAAAATTACTATTTGCATCTATATTTGAGTAATCATAACTATATTGATACATTTTAAAATCTAACCATGGACATCATTACTCCAAAACTATTACGTAGATTAGCCATCGATATTTATTTGACTCATCTGTCCGATTCAGTCAGAAATCCCTGAGCAGTAATTCTGTGAATGTAACTCGATTCAGAATTTCACTGCCATCTAGGTAACAGAGGATTGGAAAATGCTACAAAAATACTATATTTGTTGCAATATTATCAACTCAAATCTGTTATGGATTGTCTCATTCCTCCATCAATTCCGAAAGAATGGTCATGGAGTTAACGCATCACTCCATCTGCATTCAAGTTGAGCCTAAGGAAATATCTGTTCCTGATCACAGAGATTGGTGTACATAAAGATAAAGATATGCAGATAAAGATAATTTACTGAATTAACTGAATTACAATTGCTGTCCAATGAAGCAACATTCAAATTCTGGCTAAGATATTCAAAATAGAAAGTGGGTCCTCTAAGTTCATCTTAAGTAGCAGACAAGCCAACTGCAAATACTTTTGAAATTGAGTTTGAGCCACATCATTTTGACAAAGTCAGAGGGAGGTGTTTCTGGAAGCAAAAAAAAGATAATCTCAGATACTCTTCCTGGAGTTCTTCCATCAGAATTTCCATTCAGAAACATCTGTGAATACCAAAATCATATGACATGTATATAAATAAGGAAGACATTTAGATTAAAACCAACATGCTTATATAGAGTATAATACACATATGATTGTGATAATTAGCAGCACCTCAAATTATTATTGTCCACAAATATTCACTTTTGTGCTAATTTATAAATTATTTTTATATTTATTTTATGTTAACTGTCTCAATGGGGTTCTCTAATGCTAGCGCACTTATTGCTCCATGCTTATAATAAAATGTCCTATTAGAAGTACAGAACACAAACTTTGCTCACATTAGTGAACAGCAGGAAGTTTATTTTCTCAATTGTATTCTTTTTCAAATGGAATTAATCTAACTTGATTCTCCATATTGACTAGAAATGCAAAGATTCAATAATTATTCAATAGTTGTCGCTGTTAGTTAATCAATCTTTAGTGTGAGATTATTTGGATGTTAGATTAATTCTTCATTCAATTTTATAAAATTTGGAAATATAATAGCATTTCTAGCTTTACATTGGTGTGTACTATTGCAAGTATTTGCAGACTTCATACATTATTGCACATAAAGAATTTGTCTACAGGAGAATTATTTATACATTTGGTGTTTGTGCTTATGATAATGTTGAATCCTTGGTTATTCCTGTTTTTAAAACAAATATTGTGAATTTGTTATTATGTGAGATCAGTTCTACACTGTGATTATGTGAGATCACTTCTACGATATTTCAAGTGGATTACTTTCCTGTATGGATTGACATGAATATGTGTATAGAAACTTTGAAAAATCACTATACATATACTTTGTGAGAAAACGTCAAATTTATGTTCTATGTGTTAGAAGACCAAAAAAAATCCACATTAAGCCATTAAATATCAAGCTTGCCTAATGAATGGGAATGAAAAATATGGTTGTTGTAAAACTTTGCACTAAAGGGGAAAATTAAAGAAGAAACAACGTTAACAAATGTAGAACTGCAGCAATTTATAGAATGCTATTTACTAACATTTTGTCTGATGAAATATTTGTAAGTATACTGTCATACATAAAAAGTATGTGCAGTCTGTGAGATATGGCATGAATTACAGAAGTAAACTAATTTGTTTCACTGCTTATAATGTGTAGCTACGTCGTTATCACAGCAAACATTTGCCACAGTTAACGCGATCTCCTGGAGTCTTACTTAAAGCACCTTGGGACGTCCTCTGTGAAAAGCACTATACAAATGTAATTTTGTTGTTGTTGTATGTAATCCATCAACTCTGGCCTTCGTTATGCCTCTCGCTCACTCTACCATTTGTGGGTAAACTTCCAACCACTTTCCCCTGACTCCGGAATTATTCTGAAACCCCACAAAGAGCACAATGCAAGTTTGAAAGCTCCCTCCTTCAGCTTTCAAAACCAATCCAGAAACCTCTCTCTTTAAATTCAATCAGATCTGCAGAAATATTTTTTATATATGCAATGGATCTACAAAATACTTAAGATATCCAATAGAGTATAGAGGTGAAACTAATTCCATCAGTAACTTCATAATATAGAAAACGAGGTATTAACCCATCCCAAACTTTTATTCAGAAGATCACAAGAGCAGTTCAGATAAAAAAAAATGCTATTTGGCGCATTTGAATTCATCCTTCCAGAATTATTCATATTCTGCACAAACCTTTAAAGCTTGTAGCATTATACTATGATGTATAACAAGATTTGAAAGTTCCTTGTACCACTGTCACAATACAAAATTCTTTGATTAGCTGCATTCACCTGCCGTTTGGTCCAGAGTTTTTTCAATAGCCACTGATTGATACCCACAATAAACATTGCAGTACAATTTCTAATATCACTTATGTTGAATATTTTCCTAAGTCTGAAGTCTAGGTCACTGAACTCACTGAGCAGAAAATTAATTCGCTGAATACCATTATATATGTATATTGCTTTTTAGACAATGGTACACTGAATAATATGTGGAAAGAAATGTCCCTTGTACACACGCATTGTCATTTTATCTATCTCACTTGCATTCTCAGTGACCCACCCAAACAGAAGCTGGAGCTTCAGTGTGCTATTCCTGGAAACAAGTTCTGAAAAATGAACTTATCCCTGATTCCATGTATCCTTCACTATTACATCGAAAAACAATCTTACTTTGAGAGAAATATAAATTTATTGAAACAATAGATAATACTGCTAATAATCTTTGCATTTGATATAGGTCTTTCATTTGATATAGGGATTTGCATTTCATGTCAGGAGGACATCCCAAAGTGTTTCAACAACAACAGCTTGCATTTATATAGCGTCTCTCATGCAGGGTAGTATCCCATGATGCTTGACAGTGGTGGAGCACAAAGCTGAGCCGGGGGGGAGCAGGAGGTGGCACAGTGACTGAAAGTTTTGGGGCATAATGGCTGAAAGTGTGACCACCGGGACATGTGTGGAGTCCCGTATCTAAGTGGGGAGCACTCGCTTTGCAAGTGAGAGACCTGAGTTCAATTCCAGGCAGGGCAAATCCTTGGGCAAGTTTCCTTACTCCACACGCCTAATAATAATCCCTCCAAAACCAAAAAGAATAATAAATTGGTCATTTTCAATCTACAACTGTTTGTGGGACATTGCTGTGAGCAATTGGCTGCCGCGTTCGCCCACAAATATACAGTCAATTCACTTTACAGTATGTTCTGTGAAGCGCTTTGGGACGTCCTCCTGACGTGAAAAGCGCTATATCAAATGCAAAGATTATTATTATGCAGGAGGCTGGAGCCAGTCAAGCGGAGGCAGCAGGCTGTGGGTTAAGCAGGTCGGAGAGGTAGGGAGGTGCCAGGACATGAAGGGATTTGAAAACGAGTGTGAGGACCTTGAGGTCGATCTGTTCGGTGGAGCCTGGCTAGAACTGGTATGATGGGGACACAGAGTTTAGTGCGGGTGAGTATGCGGGCAGCGGAGTTTTGGATCAGCTAGTTCCTGTGCATGGTAGAACTGGGAAGACCAGCGCAGAGGGCATTTGAAAAGTCAGTCTATGTGCTGTGGGCAGGGTGGAAACCAGACTGGAGGGGCTTGAGGAGCGAGTGGAGGGAGAAGTTAGAGCAAAGCTGGTTAGCAACAGTATGTTCCAGAGCTTTGGCAAGGAAGGGAAGGTTGGAAATGGGACATTAATTTGTAAGGTTGGAGGGATGAAGGGTCGGTTTTTTGAGGAGGGGAGAGATGAGAGCTGTTTTAAGGGGGAGAGGAATAGAACCTAAGGAGAGCAACTGGTTGACTGTGTTGGCCAGCAGCAGGGAGAGGAGGGGAGGTTGGGTTACCAGCAACTGGGTAGGGAGGGGGTCGGAGCAGCAGGTGGTGGCCTTCATATGGGAGATGGTGGTTGGCAGGATTTGCTGTAAAGTGCAGTGACTGTGCATTTTGTAGGCAGC